TTCATTGCATTAGTGTACACTGCATTCAAAGATACATTTGTATTCACTGTGTTGAAGCAAAAATAACTCAAGAATATCTAATATTGCATCAAATATCTCAGAAAATTTTCTCTGAAGTAAATATTACAGAAATCAGAAAACTATATGGACTATCTTAAAGAAATGGAAAGATATTCCATGCTCATGGATTAGAAAAACAAATATTGTTAAAATATCTACACTACCCAAAGCAATCTTTGCACTTAATGAAATCCCTATCAAAATACCAAGAGCATTTTTCACAGAACAAACAATTCTAAAATTTGTATGGAAACACAAAAGACTCTGAATAGCAGAAGCAATCTTGAGAAAGAAAAGCAAAGCTGGAGGCATCACAATTCTGGACTTCTAGTTATATTACAAAACTGTGGTAATCAAGAAAGTACAGCATGGGCACAAAAATAGACACAGATCAACATTACAGAATAGAAAACCCAGAAATGAACCCACAACTATATGGTCAATTAATCTCCAACAAACCAGGAAAGAATATCCAATGGGAAAAAGACAGTCTCTTCAACAAATGATGTTGGGAAAACTGGACAGCAACATGCAGAAGAATGAAACTGGACCACTTTCTTACACCATACACAAAAGTAAACACAAAATGGATTAAAAACCAAATATGAGACCTGAAACCATAAAAACCCTAGAAGAGAACACAGGCAGTAATGTCTCTGACACTGGCCATAGCAACTTTTTTCTAGCTAGATCCCCAAGGCAAGGGAAATAAAAATAAAAATAAATTATTGGAACTACATCAAAATAAAAAGCTTCTACACAGCAAAGGAAACAATCAACAAAATTAAAAGACAACCTGGAATGGAAGAAGATATTTGCAAATGACATATCTCATAAAGGGTTAGTATCCAAAATATATAAAGAACTAATACAACACCCAAAAAACAAATAATCCAGTTAAAAATGGGCAGATGACATGAACAGATATTTCTCCAAAGAAGACATCCAGATGGCCAACAGACACATGAGAAGATGTTCATCATCACTTACCATCAGGGAAATGCAAATCAAAACTACAATGAGCTATCCGCATACCTGTCAGAAAGACTAAAATCAATAACACAAAAAACAACAGATGTTGGTGAGGATGTGGAGAAAAAGAAAACTTCTTGCACTGTTGGTGAGAATGCAAACTGGTGCAGCAACTATGGAAAACAGTATGGAGGTTCCTCAAAAAGTTAAAAATAGAACTACCTTATGATCCAGCAATTGCACTACTGGGTATTTACCCAAATAATGCAAAAACACTAATTCAAAAGGGTACATGCACCCCTGTTTATAGCAGCATTATTTACAATAGTCAAGATATGGAAGCGGCCCAGTGTCCACTGATTGGTGAACGGATAAATGAGATGTGATATATATATAATGGAATATTATTCAGTCATAAAAAAGAATGAAATCTTGTCATTTGCGATCACATGGATGAAGCTAGACAGTATAATGCTAAGCGAAATAAGTCAGAGAAAGACAAATACCATATGATCTCACTCATATGTAGAATTTAAGAAAATAACAAATGAGCAAAGGGGGAAAATGAGAGAGACAAACCAAGAAACAGACTCTTAATTATAGAGAACTGATGGTTACACAGAAGAGGAGGGTGGGGACTGGGTTAAGTACGTGATGGGGATTAAGGAGTGTACCTGTGATGAGCACTGGATGATGTATGGAACTGTTGAATCACTATATTGTACACCTGAAACTAATATAATACTTTATGTTAACTAGTTGGAATTAAAAACTTAAAAAAAACTATATAGATTATCTTCAAAAGAAAATAATATTGAGACATAATTGGATAATGTTACTTGAAAAACCAACAAAAACTGTTTTGTGAAATGTCAAAATATTTTTTTAAAAGATTTATTTATTTATTTGAGAGAGAGAGAGCACACATGAGCAGGAGAAGGGACAGAGGGAGAGGGAAAGGAAGAATCTCAAGCAGACTCCATGCTGAGTGCGGAGCCTGATGTGGGCTCAATCTCAAAACCTGAACCAAAATCAAGAGTCTGACGTTTAACCCCAGGCGCCCCTCAAAATATTTTTAAAATAGCATTCTTTTTTTTCAACATTCTTTTTAAAGATTTTTATTTATTCATCTGAGAGAGCGAGAGAACACAAGTGGTGGGGGAGGGGCAGAGGGAGAGCGAGAAGTAGACTCCCCACTGAGCAGGGAGTCCAACATGGGGCTCGATTCCAGGACCCCGGGATCACTACCTAGGCCAGAGGCAGACACAACCAACTGAGCCACCCAGGCACCCCTCAGTGTTCTTTTTAATAAAACAATTTACTTTTTCTGATTATAAAAGAAGTAAATGTTATTCTAAAAAAATTAAACAGAACATGAATAAAGAAGACTCAATCACTTCACTTTTAATATTTTAAAACACAACCATTTATACTATTAAACAAGGTTATGAATATTTTAAATTATAGAGCAGAACTAGCACTGGATAAAACTCACTTAGAAGAAACACTGAAAAGGGAATCTGGTTGTTTTGTTTTGTTTTGTTTTCTTTTCTAGTCATTTTGTTTTCCTCAATGTCTATATATTTGGTGGTAGAGTATGCCACTTTCTACATAGTCTTCTTAATCCAAAAAAAAGTTTTGTTCAGGGAGAAGAGCAACTGTTGGAATCTACACATCAGAATATCACATCAACTCAGTACACTGTACTCAGTACAACTCAGTACAACTCAGTTCCTATGCATTGCGATGGCCCAACCTGAACATGTTATACTAGCAAATTCCCCACATCTTAACCTCCTTTATTTATCACACAATTATATCTTTTTCATATCTAATGATTAGCTTCCAGGGTGGAAAGAGATAGAGGAAAGTCCTTCAAAGCAACAACTTCATTTATTTCTAAACTCATAAATCAGTGCTATATGTACAAGGAACTTGTTGGTTAATCTTTGTTTCTTCCAGGGAACAAGTATGTAACAAAATACATACAGTAAGTGTGTAAATTCCATTTCAGTAAGTGAAGAAAAATAAAATAAAAAGACAAATGGCAAAACATTCCTGAACAATCCGTTCCTACTAGTGCCAACCTGACAAAAGAAAAATGTTTAAGCATATTTTAATACAACCAGGTAAGGAAGTAAGTCAATCTCAGAATCATCCCAACAACTGCTTGCTAGTTTATCCTTAATCTCAAATGTCTTCATGAATAGTATTCCTGGAAAATGAACTTTCAGAAATTATGGAAGTTTTCTATATTTAAAAACACCTGAATTTAAGCCAAAATCTGAGTTTAAACAGATAGGGAAAAATGCCATTTTAGGAAGCTCTTAAAATCAATGGATTAATTGTTATAAAATGTATATTGGAATTAGTGATCTTTAAATTGTGATGGCAACAAATATGGCAGCCACAGTGAAAAGGAGCTACCACATTCTGAACATTTTCTATGTGCCAGGAGCCATGCCGAGCACACAGACTACATTATCTTGTTTAGTCCTCAAATCCAGCCTAACAGGAGGGTACAAGTCTCTGGGTTTCACTGATGAGAAAACTGAGGACTTGGTATCTTACCTAGGTACAAACAGCTTCTGCAGGCCAGGATTTCAGTCCAGGTTTCATACACTGGTGGGTTATAAAGACTTCCAAGACTACATAACTTTAGAAATGACTCCACAGATAATAGAACCTCCAGTAATAGACTACAGTGTTATTGTTTGGCTGTCACTTATAACCAAATTGGATAATTACCACCAAATACAATATAATGATGAGAATAATGGTTATGCTTTCTATTCTTAAAACACATTAATCTAAAAAAGAGTGGTTTCAAAATAAGTATTATCTTATTATATAAACACACATTAAAATATGTCAAAAGGAAGTTAAGTGGCTTGCCTTCCAGTTGCATGTGAAACATAATAAATGAAAAATCTAAACCTAGAACTTGCCTTATAGAGGCTCCCCCTGCAGCCTAGAGTAAAGCTTTCCTTCTCTACTCTCCTTCATCAAAAAATTTTTTTTCTATAGGAAATTTACAGAGATCTGAAGAAACTATTCAACAAAAACTTAACAAAAGTGAATAAAGGCAATGTCAAGGAAATGCTATGTCCTAGGGTTTCTGTTTGATTATAGACTAAACTGGCAAGTTTGGGCTTACCAGATTGGTGTTTTAATAAAAGAAATTTGTAAGATCAAGGAAAAAGATATCACAAGACATGGAAAGGACTAAAGCAAAAGATTTAGGCGAGGAAAAAGAAATAAAACTCAGAGAAATTTTGTAAGGACAAGGTACAGACAGAGATACAAAGGTGTGAAAGCTTTTGAGAAAAAAAAAAGAAAGAAAGAAAGAAAGAAAAGCAGTAGAGCAGAATGGTTCAATGCATAGGCTTTAGCTCCAACCCAGCTGAGTGTGAATGAACCTCTGTTACTGACTGAGTGACCTGGCATTAATCACCCTTCTTTAGTTTGCTCATCTCTAGGATAAGAATAATAAAAGTACCTATCTGAAAGGGCTGCAGTGAGGATTAAATGTTATAATGTATGTAAAACTTAACAGTGTTAAAACTTGACACATAACTGTTATTATCATGAGGAAAAGCCAGAAGAGGAAAATGCAATAAACACAGCCTCAGATTTCCTCTACAGAGATCTACTGAGTCCTTTCTAACTCTATTTACACACCAAACTAAAGGAATCAAAATCTGATTCCCAAATAATGCATATCATGTTGAAGATTCTATTTGTGACAGCTGAAAAGTTAGTAGTATTATGCTTTCTTGAATTTTGTTTTCCTTGAACTGGTCTGAACCTAAAAGGCTCATTTCAACTTACCCAAAATGTCACTGGCAAACAGAGGGCAAGAATATACATAACCCAAACCACAGAAATGTTAAACAATTAAATTTTGATTCCCAAACAAGCAAACTCTCGTTCTAAGTGAGTGTTTATTAAACTGAAACAAAGTCTGATTTTGATATATAGAATACTATTTTATTCTTTATTTTAAACCTTTCTTACATGTTTAAAAATATACATGGGTTCAGAACAACCTCAATAAAATGATGACATTTTCTATTAAAGGACCTCTGAAGTCAAACCACTGGTGTGCAAACACAGTTGGCTTCCAATTTGAAGTCATAGGCACATTTCATTAAATGCATTTCATAAAACAAAGAAATCAAAATGCTGAGAAGAAATATACTCAGTAGTTTGATATAAACTTTAAAATATCTGTCAGGCAGGAAACTTATAGTAAAAAAAGTAAGATTTAGATGTTTTACCACTCACACCTGCTTCACTACTATTCCCCAAATGCCATTTTGCTACATCTAAACCCCTGACAATTTATTATACAATTCCATGTAGCACACTAAAAAATAAGTTAATTTAATCTTTGTGTATGAAAACAGATCATTACAAAAGAAAATACTGACAGCTCTTACCTGTATTTGATAATTAAGTATATTGTATTCTCAGCAGTAGTAAGAATGCAGCTTGGTCTAATATAAATATCTAAATAACAACTACACAAAAGTATTTTTCTCTTCAAAGAAGTTTTTGTATATTTTTTCCAATGTTGATGACTTAAGCAACATTGATCTATATATTGTGCTAAGAAAATATCAGGCACAGATCACATAATATAATTTACATGTTCTTTGTTGTAAAAAATATACTATATGCAAATTCATATCACACAAACGATTGGTGGACGCAACACTAAGCTTTGTAGACCTAACACAAAAAGGTTAATATTTACTCTTAAGAGGGAAAAAAATGGGGGTCACACGGAGTATGGTCTGAAAGGGCAATCAATACCTCACTTCTGGGTGAATACTCTGCGTCTGCATGAGAATTATTTGTGGATTTTCTTAAAGAAAAACAAAGCTTTATTATAGCAAAAAAAGATACCACTTTGGGCACATGAACTAAATGAAAAGGAACCAGATAAAAATGTTTACAAAAGCTATTAAAAATATTTAACACAATATCTCAAACAAGCTATAGATTGCTTTATTGGAAGGAATAGATTATTTAACATTATGATTGCTTTATATAGTAGATTCTTTCTTTAGCTAAGACACTTTTGGATTAAGGTACTGAAGGATGCAGATCAAGAAAAATGGACAGAGAAAAAAATAGCAGGCTGTTAGAAAGGGGGTGGAGGGTTAAGCATAATTTTACCCAGAAGAAACAAAAATACTGTTTCTTTTTGTTTATAGCAGAAATTTTATGCTGTGGATATTATAAAAACACAAGCAAAAGGGTTATGTGGTAGGTAATAAAATACAATACTTACTACGCATCCTTCATGGAGAAACCACAAAGTACAATGCAAAAAATTGTACTTTGCCACATATATAATATGTAGCATTTTCCTATAAAGGGCAATTTATGTAAGTGATTTCCACAAACACAAAGAGAGTGAGAGAGACAGAGACGGACAGAATGAGAGGAAAAGACAGAGGAGAGAGCTCAGTCAGAGAAGACAGGGATGCCGAGGAGCTTTGCTCATGTCCTGTGGAAGATCTGAGATACTTTTTTCAATACTTTTTTTGTCCTCCTTCTTAATTTTGCTATTACTGTACATTTATATTCACACACTATAATTCTCTCATGAGATTACCCTCTGTACATTCTTTTCTCTAGCTCCCCACCACCACCATGGAAAAAGAGGGGAAAAAAAAAAAAAGAAAGAAACCTCTAGTCCCTTCATCTCAAAGTCAACTATTCAAGTAAATATTTCTCTAGTGGCAAATTTCCAGATGAACCAAGAATACAATCCAAAACTCCTACAGATTACATTTGAATTCTGTATAGTTCTCTTCAAATGGAGCAGGAATTAGCCCGTTTCCGAGGTTTGGGGTCTCGTGCATCCTGATCCTTCACACACATACAAGACGTGCACATTGTCTCGGACAGTCTTCGGAGGCCTAGCCGGAAAACACTGTTGGAAAGGCTATAGATTACACAGTTACAAAAACTATTACTTATAGCAAGCCAGGTTGTTAGGAAGGACAGTGCTGGATTGTCCAAGACCCGGGAGCTTTCTAGAAGAAAGTAAATTATGTAAGGGAGCCACAGCATGTAAAACACACTGGTTATCCGAAACAAAACCATGGCGTAGCGACGGTCAGGGCTGTGTCCAGTCTCCCCGGGGGCATCTACCTCGTGGCTAGGAAATCGGGCCCTCCGGTCATTTATCTCTTTGGTGTGCTGCCGGCAAATTTTGAAGATGTGGAAGTAAGTGAAGCAGACAACAAAGGCAGCAGGAGCATAAAGTAAACAAACAATAAAGCCAGTAAAATAGGCACTGGTGAGCCAGGAGGTGGCACACCATTCAAAAATGTCACCGTGGTACCCTGGTTTCCCCCAGCCAAAAAAGGAAGGCAAGAAAATTAGGCAAGAGTAGATCCAGATTAAAATAATGCAAATTCTCAGGCGACAAGGGGTGACCAGTTGATTGTAGGAAAGAGGCTTGGTTATTGCAAGATAGCGATCCACACTTATGCAAGCAAGACATGCCATAGAAACACTTTTTAGAACGGAGATGATATATCCAAAAACCTGGCAAGTCAATGACTCATGGATACCTGTGGAGTAGTGAAGAAGTGAGAGAGTAGGAACCAAGCAGCTAACTCCAACGAAAAGATCAGCATATGCCATTGTCTGAATAAAGTAGCTGGTAGTATAATGGTGCAGGAGTGGAGCACAGTGAAAGACAAAGATGACCGTTAAATTCCCGGCAATGATTAGAAATGTCAGCAAGACAATAACAACGGTCTCAAAGATGCACACATCCACTGCACTGTAGTAGCCAAATCCAAGTGGGCAGGAGTGACGTTCAGACACATTCACAATGCCACTGCTCATGTTCAGGATGCTCCATTCAGTCCACCTGGATTCATTCATGGCTTGGAATTAAGGGAACGGGTAGCCTTGGTTCCAGCAAGCAGGTGCCCTGTCCAGCATGTGTTACACTCTGCACATTAGTGTCTTGGGATCAGCTTCGGAAGACAGTGGCGGTGCTTCTGTCACAGCTGAGCCTCCCAGAGAGTACTCAAGCCTCTTCATCAGCTCAGTGCAGCAGTGACACATCTCAACTTTGGGGCGGGGGGGAGAAAGGGAGGTAAGCTAGAAAGGAGGTGAAAAAAGGTCACTGATTAGCTTCCTCCAGTGCTCCCAAACAACTTTCTGAAGACACAGGCACTTCTAGAGAAAATGGATTTCTTATTACCTTGCACTATTAAAAATTAAATCTGTAAAAAAAAAAAATATCAATTGCCAAGGGAAGAAAAGCCTTTGTGGGGTGTTTGGTCTCCTCAGAAAGGTAGTTTGTTAGGGGTCAGTTAGAATGAATGAGAAGAGAAAAAGTCTTAAATTGTCTCAGACTTTCTGCTTCATCTATCATAAGAAGTGGATTCATACTTTACAGTTTAAATAACTAAGATCTAAGATCTAGTCGCAAATCTAAGAAAAAGTTCATTGCAGCAAAGAGTGTCTTTGGACTCAGTTCAGGGTTTGATGCTGGTGGATCAACTTTATGATCTATTTCTCCCTCATTTCTCAAAAAAGCTAACTCCCCTGACAAACACACACACGAGGTTAATTCTAAAAGACTCAGCTCTACTTGGGCACAAAGGAGCAGAGCAGAGGTAAAAGACTCCAGATTGTCCTATAACTCTCATGAGGAAATAAAAGCTTATTTCCAGTAGGGAAGATAATATACAATAGGTTAACACCTGACAAAAGATGATAAACTTTAAAGTTTTAATTCTGCATGCAATTTTTTTTTTTAAAGTTTTTATTTATTTATTTGACAGAGACACAGCGAGAGTGGGAACACAAGCAGAGGAGGCGGGAGAGGGAGAAGCAGGCTTCCCGCTGAGCAGGGAGCCTGATGCGGGGCTCGATCCCAGGACCCTGGGATCATGACCTGAGCCAAAGGCAGATGCTTAACGACTGAGCCACCCAGGCGCCCCTGCATGCAATTTTTTAAGCATTCAGATGAAAACAGTTTTAGTCCATCACAATTACTAGTGCCACCACCAACAATGTAATTTATACTTTTTCCTTTTCAAAGGAAAATAAATAACTGTTACTAATTTCAGCATCAATAACTGAAAGTAACTTTCATTATCTGATATGCCACCTTCTAAATAATGGAGCATGATCATAAAATAATAGCTCAAAGTTATTTCTCACCTTCGCAACCACACCTATATCTCACATATATATGAAATTTAGACAACAGAAACTTTCCTATATACTCTGAGCTTACTTGACCAGAAATGCTGCCATTATTTATTACTTAGGTATTTCTAGTACGCTTTGTAGTCTACGTTTCTATCTCTTCTATTTTCATCAGAGGATTAACACATTAGATCATTACTTCGACTAAATCTTCTGAAAGTGGAAAATTACCTTGTTTGTTATATTTGCAGTTTTATAGCAGCCATATGTTAAGAAAATGCCTCTTCTATTTCTGTATTCTATTTTGAGCAAGTGCTCAATTAATACAGGGGCCATTAGGTAGGTTATAAGATGGTCTTATTTTAAAATACCTCTAAAGCATCAAGGTGAGTTTAAATCCTAGAGTTTGAAATACTGAAAGGCTTGCATGATAGAATCCATCCAAACGGCTTCCAAGGTCATTCTGACATCAGGTGAACATTTGTCAAAAATCTTTTTTAAAGTACATGTATTTCAGAGAGTTTCTTGTCAGTCTTTGTTGTCATACCTCTTGAAGAAATAACATGCATTAGAAATAAAAACATTTCCTTCAGGAACAAAGCAGCAGCTTAACAGAAAGCATTCTTCTGAAAGTTGTTTTCTCGTGCACCACCAAGTCATCAGGGAAGTCTTTCTTCTTTTATAATAGTCACAGGATATTCCTCCTTGTACATTCCTAGTTTCACTTATCACAAAATAGTTCTCTTCTTACAGGAATAAGGCAATGCTTCTCACCTACATTCACTCTTATCAGCTGCTAGGCTGGGCTGCTTGATTCAGAAGTCCGATCTACTGTGATGCAGTTACCAGGATGCTGTCGGTATATTCTTCACAATCTCTCAGTATCACTGCCTCCACCTGAGCCGGAGCCCTGCTCCTCCTCATCCTGAGCTGATGCAGAAGAACTCACCATTAGAAAGGTGACTCGGTCCTCCTGCCCCAATCAACAGCACAGCCAATGGCTACTGCAGCTGAAACTGTCACTAGGTAACAGTTGCCAGGCACATGCAGGCTTATAGACTTACTCGGCAAGCTCCGATCAAGATTGACAAGAGAAGACAATGCAACTGACCGAGCCTTATAACATATTAATGGCACGTGTGAATCTCTAGAGGTAGTCTCCTTATAGCATTTGTAAAGATTATTTCCTATGGACAGGACAGAAAAAAAACAAAAAGCAAAAAAAGCCCTGGGATACACCTTTAAACCCTGTAAAGAAACTACCACGAGGTACTATGACACTAAAAAGTCAGCAGAAATCTAATGCTCACTGGCAGAAAAAATGTATTAATTATTAAAAATCAGCTAAGTCTTCGTGAGCTCAAGTGATATAGCTACTAATTTTACTCTCTAAAATGTAGTTATATTTTGATTAATAGAAGTTAAATCATTTAATAATCTCACCAATCCCTGCCACACCCACACTAACTTGCTGAATTTGATGTATTTAACTGTATAAACAAAGCACTGGAACTAACACCTCTATGCTAAAATCTATTTGGGGAAATATTTAAGGTCAAATATGAATTTTGAAAAGTAGGGATTAGAAATAAGTAAAATGACTGTTTATTACTCCACCTTTTATCCTAATATGAAAAACAATCAGGGTCAAAGAACTCTGTCATATGGTGATTGAGCCACTCATACCCAAGTTAGAAGAACGCAAATCAAGCTCCTTTACCTGATGGAGGTGAAAAACACTTCCATTTATTTTGACTTACTATAGACAAACATTCTCTATTTTAAGCATTTCCTTATGGGGTCAGCACTTTTCTTTAAAGTGACTTAGAACTAATTTACAAATTATTTCAGAATTAAATAAGGAAAATTAAGATGAAAACGGAAGATAACTAACATCTGTTGAGCACATTCTGTATGCCAAGCATTATGCTATGTGCTTTATATATTTTCTCTCTATAAAAACCTTAAATCTTTATGGAGTAGGTACCCATCATTATCATTTTCCAAAGGAAGAAGGTGGGTACTAGAAAAGGTAAGTATAACTTGCCTACTAGAGTCATGAAACTAGCACTGAAATAGGTCAAAACTGTCATTCCTGACACCATATTGATGAACCTCTCTCCCTCCCTTTCCTTTCCACTGATGGCTAACACTAAGGAAATGTCTAAGAAGAATTATTTTGGATTTCTTTCTTTCTTTTTTTTAGATTTCATTTAAATTCAGGTTAGTTAACATATAGTGTATTATTATTTTCAGGGGTAGAATTTAGTGATTCATCAGCTGCATGTAACACACAGTGCTCATTCATCAAATGCCCTCCTTAATGCCCCTCACCCAGTTACTGCATCCCCCCACCCACCTCCCCTCCAGCAACCCTCAGTTTGTTTCCTATAGTTAAGAGTCTCTTATGGTTTGTCTCCCTCTCTGATTTCATCTTATTTTATCTTTCCTTCTCTTCCCCTACGCTCATCAATTTTGTTTCTTAAAATGATTTTTAAAGAACAGAAAACCCTATTTTTTCCTCCATGTTGAACTGCCTTACAGGAAGGCCATATTATTGTTAATCTTCAGGGGCTTAGGTGAAATACAGAATGCAAGCACATTTCTCATTACCAGAATAATTTATAAAACAAGTTAGAATAACAATTGTAGAATGAGTACCATGTTGAGATTTGAAAGTAAATATTTAAATGTAATAACAAAAGGCTAGAAGGTCCTATTTTACAGGGAAGTATTTTGACTTTTAGGGATACCTAAAAGTATTAAAATCAAACAAGACTGGATTTAACTAACATTCTCTTTTACAATATAAATATTCAAAATAAAAATTACATTTGATAAATATTCATGAATGTAGACAGATCCCATACCCCATATTAAAAAGAGTTAAATACTAAGCTTTACTATAAAACCATCGAAAAATAAAACACTATCAATTATTAAAGTTACCTATGTCACACAAATCTAAATAAACCATTTACAAGGATAGACTTTACATATATTTTTTAAAGATCTATTCTTTTTTTCCTGAGGATTTTATTTATTTGAGAGAGAAAGCATGAGTGGGTGGGTAGGGGAGAGGGATAGAGGGAGAGGGAGAAACAGACTCCCCGCCGAGCAGCGAGCCCAACACAGGGCTCGATCCCAGGACCTCAGGATCATCATCTGAGCCAAAGGCAGATGCTTAAGCGACCAAGTCACCCAGGCGCCCCAGCCTTTACATATTTTTAAAATAGCTTTGAATGTAATATTTTCAAAATCAGGGAAATGGCAAAAAATCTCACAAGGAAATACAACTAAATTGCTTTAGTTTGACACATTTATTTCCAAAAACTATCACTGACAGGGATTTGAGTCTATGAATACTCTAAATAATCCATAATTGTATATGCTTCCAAAGGTATATGATAAAAAAGAGAGAGTTCAAGTAGAGCCTTTGATGCACTAAGCTTCCTGCTTTCCTTCTACAGACTTCCAAAAAAACTTCAATGGTTCTGGGGTGCCTGTGTGGCTCAGCTGGTTAAGCTCAGGTCGCGATCCTGGAGTCCCAGGATCGAATCCCACATTGGGCTCCCTACTTAGTGGGGAGTCTGCTTCTCCCTCTGACCTCTCCCTTCTCATGCTCTCTCTCTCTCTCTCAAATAAGTAAATAAAAATCTTAAAAAAAAAAAAAGCATAATCATATGTTTAGAAAAAAAAACTTCAATGGTTCTAACAAGATAATTTTCTTTTTGTTTTTAGAGATTGACTTGTTCCCTCACTTTTCTCCCTTTCCATCCTTTTTTCTGATCTGATTATAATAGGAACTAATTTATAATGTGAAGCTCTAATAACAAAAAGGCATTAATACCATATATTTACATAGCTCATTACATAAAGCACTCTTTGTTTTTAAATTAGGCATAATTCTCTTCATGTTAGGGGTCATTAGGTGTTTTATTATTGCCATTCTTATTACAATCATTATCAACCACCCCCCTCTCCTTTCAACTGATGAATCCTAGTCAAGAAATATCTAAGAGGATTATTTAGGATACTTCAGAATTACTTCTAATAGCTAAAACTATAGCTTTATGAGATGACAAACCACAGGTCTTTGATTTCTTATTTATACCTTAAGTATGTTTTATATGTATCAATATTTCATTATTTTTTAATTTTTTATTGTTATGTTAATCACCATACATTACATCATTAGTTTTAGATGTAGTGTTCCATGATTCATTGTTTCTGCATAACACCCAGTGCTC